TCAATTTCTGTGACTACTGATGTCTTAAATAATTCATAAAGACGACGTTGTCTTTAAATAAGGATCTTTAATCTACAAACTGTAAATAAATAGCCTGAGTCCGGGATTGTAGACAACAACATTGATACCTTGCTGTCCTCTGTTAAATCACGAAACCAGTTTCCCTTAAATTTTTTACTAAGAGACTTATACATGCATAAGTTATCTATCAAATTATTTTTCTTTAAATATTAAATGTCGTCTAAGTTTGTTTTAATGATTAGTCTTCATCTAGATTCATTAATCATCACGATATTTATATATACATATTATGTAATAGACCTATCATATCACGTCCGTAGTTACAAAGTCAACTACATATTAATGCAATAGAATAAGACTCAATAATTAAAAAAATAAACCTCAGTATTCGGGCCTAAAAAACACAGATAAGTGTATCAATGCCAACGGGTAAGCTCAAATAACCTTCCAGATAAGTGTATCAATAATCAAGGATTGCGAGTACTAAGGACCGGGTAAGATGGTTGTAACATTGGTATTGCTAGTTATTAAACACGATTTTGTCTTGTGCCAGTTTAAATGAGTTTTTGTGTGTTTAGTCAAGCAAATTTCTACAAATAATTGGAGAAAATTCAAAATAGGAGGTATATTTGATATTGTTATGTATAAAAGTCAACTTTATTTACAACATTTTTTACATTTAGTAATTTATTCTAGCTAAACACAATTCCCTTGCTATCAGAGAATTTGATGACATCCCTACATTAAGTCAATGATACATATCCCAATGTTAAGGCAATTCATCCGAACTGAAATCCTCAATTTCTCAGAACAAGTGCTATGTGTCATATTTTTTTTATTCTGAACGACAAAACAAAAACCTATAAACAATAAAATTGTGTTTAACTTAAAATGTTTCAAAACATCACTGAAACATGAACATGGTTGTAAATAAAGTTGATACTTGAATGAGCCATATAATTAACTCGTGGTTATTAGAATAATATATAGAAAATGGGAATACTATAATTGCCAACAATGACAGCAAAAATTTGTTGAAAAATAATATATGTCTCTTTTCTGTGTAAATTCATCACTCTGGTAATATATTATTAATAATAACTTGAGTTCATTTAATAATAACTTAAGTTCATAAATAATATAACTGTGTACTTCAATTTTGAATGTAATCTTGATAAATCTAGTTGGATTAGCGAAACGTCGAAAAATAAAACATTTTACTCCGAAGTAAATGAACTTAAGTTATTATTATAATATATGTCATTTTTGACTGTTGCACCTTGCGGCAAACAATTGCATAAAGTTCGTTATTCACTCAAGCATAGGTTTTGGGTTTGTCCAGGCATATGGCAAACATTATCACTTAATTTCGAGGTGTAATGTCTTTAAATATAGCTGGTACATAGAGTCGAGAATGTGTTATCAAGCACTTGGAAACTGATGAATTGGATATCGGCGGAAATTAAAGGATGTCAGATTGCTCTAAAAAAGTAATGGAGGCATTTTCTGCATAACAAGCAAGCACAATCATATGCGTCCTAATTATAGAAGAGCATTTGGTTTAAATAATCCTTCTAACACGCCTTAATTGATCAGTTGTTTGATTATATATATATTGAATAACATTTTCACAAATTATTAGCTCATTATTACTTGTATTAGTTATGACCTGCGTAAATGCATTCTCAAATCCTTGCACTTGAACATTTATTATTAGGTTATTGCAAATACAGAATGGAATCCTAGTGATAATGATTCACAAGTTGATATCCGGGAATTGATATTGGCTTACAAACCAGGATCTCACATTCGTTCCGAACCCAAAAATGTCTCAAAACATCCTTGATATCAGAGGGACACTTTAAAGTCTTCAAACTCTGTGTGATATGCTTGTAGTACTTTCATTATATCTATGAGGGAATATTACGACATCAACTAGATATGTAGTACTTAAGATTCCATGGAGGTAGACTAAATACTATTTGATTAAATTAAGGCATTTGTTTGTACATTAGCCTGTTCATGGTTTGTAAAAACTTGGCACGTTGTGATGTCTATCACACGTTTCGGTGCAGTATGTGCTAAAAATATATCAATGTGTCATATTTGGTAATGTTTGACATACTTTATGCTGGTTCATTATTGGTCAAGGCATGTATCTACAGTCCCAAACTACTTTGAATTCATATTCGCAGGCAGATCTCAGTTCGCAAGTGTTATGTAACGTTTTGCGATATTGCGCACCACACTTTCGTGTAACTTTAGATGAACTTAACAATGGTGCAGAACATTCAGGTCCGAGACATCATATCTTTTATTCCATTTGTACATATAGTACAGTTAAGTATATACTTAGCTTTAAGCAATCATCATTCACACTGGTCAGCATCAAGCGGTGGTAACGACAGTAACCTTCGCATCTAAGATGTTACTTCCGCTTGATACTGACCAGTGAATCAGCGATTAATATATTATTTATTCGGGGACGGCCGACCCATCAACAACTGATACCGGGTCAAGATTCTTCAATGCACATGACCTTGGCAAGAGTGTAGACTTACCTGATTCAATCTACAGGTAGAGTAAACAGACTATGCTATGAAAATATACTCTCTTTCATCACACTTTTCTCTCACAGGTTTTTGAACTAACTGACTTGCAAATCGACCAACCATGTTTTCTCTCAGTAATACGATTAACGAATTCTATAAGGCACAAACAAGTACTTCAAAAAGGGTAAAATCTGGTCAAAGGATTTTCAAAAATCAATTGGAAATAGAACTAAAGGAATATGATAAAAACGGCAACATATTTTGACACATCAAAATTATAAAACAAATTAGTTATAACAACTTCATGAGAGCATGTCTAGACCAAAAGACATTTCTTTCAAACTCAATAAAAGCGGGTGGTGCTTAATGAGTACATCACTGTTGTTCCTATGATCACTGTATCTACAGAGAATTCCATTCAGAAGATGGAATCTGTATTTAGTATTACTAGTTTACAAGAAAAAATTTATTAAGAAGATAAATGGAGGAATGCATTTTAGATAACCATATCAATATTTGTATACGTTAGAAATTAGTCCGCCTTAAATCACGTGAAGTTCAATGATGACTTACTTAGGCTATCTACGTTTATTGAATATTTCCACAAACAATTGTTACATCATTTAACATAGACAGCACATCGAGGTTATTAATTGAGTCGAACTCAAAAGTTGGACAGCTAAAAATAAGTCGATGTGATGATGCATGTACTTTACAACATGATAAAGAAACAGAAATAAACGAGAGCGTGCATTTGTTCCAATCCATCAATTGCAAATCTCCGATTGCAAAGGAGGCTAAGACAACCAGGGCCTTTGATCCAGACAAAAACCTTAATATCTCATGCAATTAATTGTGTTGAATAAAGAGACCAGTGTAAGAGTCGTTTGTCTTTGTCTCGCCATGATGACTAAACTATTGGATTTTAGTTTTTCACTGGTGCTTTCATTAACAATATGGGCACAGTATATATCATTGATATTCAAAAGCATTACATTCGTTGTATTTTTTACATTTGACGTATTTCAGTTTTAAACATTATAAAATAATCGTACTTGGTGATGCGAGAAAATTTGTATCAACGTTGAAGGAGAGGGGGAATGGGTATTGGGATGAGTAAAGGTTGAATCGTCTGAATATCTACCATTTTTCTACTACTTCTCAAAGATAATTTGGGAATGAAATTGATATTGTGTTATGAAACATTGACCCTTAAATATTCCTACAATGCTTCACTTTTTCAACGTCGACTTTCAAAATAACGTCTAGAATAAAGATTTGATTAAAAACATTGACTGGTCCAGGGGGACATTTTACAGGGCCTCAATTATTGGGCTTTTGGGGGCATTTTGGACTTTGGGGTCTTTTAAGTACAAATTATCAAAAATTGGCCTTACATTTTCAAAATTTGGGGCAAATCTTTGGATTTAAGGGCCCAACCTTTTTTCCGTACAAGCGTGGATTTTTTCTGAATTGAAATGTGTCCCTTGTTAGCTTCTGGATTCACAAGTGAAAAGAATTAAAAAATGAACTTGTCTAGCGATATAAATGTAGACGAGTAAAGGTTAAAAGCATTGCGTATAACTAAGTTCTCAATAAGGCTATTCTGACTTCAAATTAAGCCTATCTACGTCTACTAATGGTCAAAATCACTCGTACCGAGAGCATAAAATGTTAAACAATAGCAGAGTTGCTAAAACTAAAACGCTAAAGCAATTTATGGAATTGCTTTCTCTGTGGTGCCTGACTGAGTGATTCCATGATTACACTTTTAGCCGGGATCAGGATAAACTTTCTACTTTGATGAGAAGATTAGACTATAAATGTCAATTCTCTGAGGTAAAAACGTAACTTCAAAGCGTTTTCAGATCATATGTGCTTAGTCCATTTATCACTTAACCATCGAAGTTCTTCTCGCAAATTATCAGAAGATGGTTGAAAAAATAAACCATTTCTAGTGTTAGAGTGTAACGTTAATCTCACGTAGCGTTTGGTTTATTGTGGCATTAGAAATGGATAACACAACATGATTCCCGGGGCATGACTAAAGATAAATGGTTCTCTGTTCCAATTTACCCATCCTTATGTATGTGTTTATGTGAGGTGAGATAGCCGCAGTAAAACCCATTGCGTTGTAAGAATAGAATTTGTTAACAGTTTTGGAGAACAACTGTAAGTTACTTACTTAGCAAGATTGTGTGTGTTTATAGATTATCGGTGGTAGGGAAATATATAAGGTGAATATATCAACGAGTGAGAATACGTCCATTGTCTTCAAAAGGCAATAACAACTTAGCATTGGCACATAGTTCATTGATAGACGGAATTATATAAAACGTCAACAAATAGCCCCTCCTTTTGATGTTAGTATGTTCAATGTTAATCATGTAACATGTACAATGGTTTAATACGTTTAATAATTCCTACCTTGTCTTTTCGTATTTTTAGTCTCTCGTCAGCTTTAGTGAGGCCACCTGGACCCCCCTTTGTATTACGTGCTACTTTCCGCCTACCCCGTTGTTTTTGATGTAATGTTGTATTGTCCGATATAGTGTCTCTGAGGCTCTCAATTGCCTCAATAAGTCTCTCTGTTGGGTCAAGGTCCAACCTGACCTCATTGTTTTTAGCGTCCTCTGCACTCGCGTCATAAAAGTTTTCCACTGAGAGATCGCCAGAGTTAGTTTCATCGTCATCTGCCCGATCATAAGTGTCCTGGAAAGAGGAATATGGGTTAATGTTCATGACATTGCCACTGTTGTTATTCTGGGTGATCATCTCCACCCTGCTGAACATAGCCATGGTCTCTCCTGGCAACAGCGAGGCAGTGATGGAGAGTCCAAGCCAACGCATACAGTAAAACACAAACTGGAAAGTACATCTAGTGGAGTCAGAGCTACATCATCTAATTCAACGCATTTGTTCCCTCACACTGTGCCTAGACAAACAACCGTGCCAATCTTGGTTCGGCAAATTTGTAAAACTGAGTTACCATAGCAACTATAATTTGAGGAATGGGAATAGGTAGATACTGTCACGTGATAAATTTGGCTCAGCATGTTTAAGAAGAAATGGATGTTACCTGAGAAAGATGCGCCTTGCATAAACGATACTAACAGAGCCGTAGATGTGTAGCAATACCAATAGAAAAGAAACACATAGAGTTTTTTATCTGCAACTAAGAGCTAAATTTGGATCACTGTAAAAGATAACACACCCCTGATGCGTCTAGATTTTCAATTAATATAAAACCAGCGTTTTATCCTCAGAGATTAATTCATCAGGTAAATGCTTCCAGTGTCACTACAACACTAAACATTGCACCTGTTATTTTAACGTTCTTTTACCGAGAAGCAAAACCACCAATATAAACCTGAGAGAAGACCCTCTTGGGTACGCTGTTATCAAATACTCAGCAGGTGAAGCGTCTTTTCCACGCATCAACTTTGGAACCGGCGATCAAAGTCATTTCGAGGATAAAGCTGGATTCCCTAAACAACAAATAATCGACTGCAATTGATGCTTCTAACTGCATGATGTCGGATTGGAACCGGTATGGGTTTCTCGTTTCGAAGGTGAAGTCATCTGAAGTACCTATATACTATATTTACATGCAATATATAATATGCGGCCATTAAAGTTCATGACGTTGTATGCCATCTATCCTTGATGAAACAAAATGTTCCGAAGCTTCATTTCGCTCCAAAGGTAGTCTGAAAGGAATACACAAGAAGGGCTTATATTTATGGCAAAAGCATCTTGGTTGCACTTAGCTCTTTGGGCCCATCTGAAAAGAACATTTAATGATAAGATGAAAACGTTTGAAGACTCAACGACTGCTTTGATAGAATACCATAGATAATACTCATCGCTTAATTAGAGCTAAAACCACCATCACTGCAACTGTAAAGCTCGCTATTCTTCGATATTATTAATAACACTTTTCTAGGGTTCGTGACATGTGAATACTCAGGTAGTTATATATATTCTATCCCCAGACGAATAATTGACCAAGTGCGTGTATCTATAAACGAGAAAGTTTGCTTAAGTAGTATATACTATCGTGTCGTGTGTTTCTCATTTTCTAGAAAACCGAAAACATCAACGATTTTCCATGTGATATTACCTTATGCGACAGGTGCTTTCCTTTCATGACAAATGTATATATGTCTTATTCATCCAAACACAAATCCATTCTCAACGAGTATTCTTTTAATCTATATCACAGCCAAGCGTTAACTAGATTACGTGGTAGGTTGCAACTATTCTCAGACTTGCGTTTCTTGAAATAGTCAATTTAATAGAGAACTGCTACATAATAGGTTTAATCAACATCTCCCACTAGGCGTTTATCTATACTGAATACTGCAATGGTTATCATAAAACTTATTCAATATAATTCACATTGCATATTGCATACGCTGTAATGACTATCATATAATACTAGATCAACTATATTCACAGTATTAGTTGTGTGTGCATCGCCAAAGTCTATCCAGAACGGATGATATCATAATACGTTCTAATCCTTTTGCGAAGTCGATAGATATGTCAAATACTCCTACTAACTTAAGACCAAAGAGCAAGTACTTGGTATCTGCTTCCACTTGGTAAAACGTCCTACTATCACTATGCACCCACCTCCAATCAAAATTAGCCACAAGCAAACAACTTACGGTGAGCAACGTTTTGCAAGTACAGAACCAACATGTACACAAACCACATCGACCTTTTCCTTAATATCGCTTGCCGAGAAACACACTGTGGGAAAAGGCCTCCGATGTCTAACCACTGCAATTAACGTATGGGGAAGTTCTACATCTCGAGGGTGCCAACTTATTAACGGCAAGATGAGATAGATTTCATGTAGTTGTAAATCTCACACCTTAACTTCCCAGTTCCTTCATATAATGCAGAGTATAACATCCTTGAGATAAAAAGATACAAAACACATTCTGAATCAAATAAATCTTGATTATGGATCCTCACGATATAGACGCCAAACTTTTATACACATACAACGTAGACGTCAAAGTTATAGGAAAAGTTAATTAAAGCAATATATCTTATCGTATAATTGAGAGTTAGGTCCAACTAAATTGACATCACGTGTCAATCATCAATTGAAAGCTATACTGGAGCGTAATTCCGAAAAGTTAACAAATATATGAAAATATTCATCCATCATCTACCCACCCCAGAGTTTGCAAAGTTGAATAGATGCATTGATGAAAATTGAAAGTAAAACCATCGGTGCCGCATCAGTGTTCCCATGGTGATAGATGTAGCACGTAAGGACAACTTTAATATCAATCGACTTATATATGACGATAAAGAATGTTTTATTACCAACTGGGTAACTTAGTTTTGTTTTATTTTTGCTTCGATTGCAACGTTATTACTGGAACTAAATTGATCACTTTCATATTGTTTGATTTGTGTCCCCTCAGCCTAAGTATGGCCTTCATATGCAATTCTAAATAATAGCGTTGTCCAATTTGTACTCAAATGCAGTGTGTATGCTTTTGGTAGAAATGTAACAAAATATCTTCAAAGCATCATACTTTTCTATGTTGCGTCCCAATTAACCTACGTGAATAAGCTATATTTTAGTGAAATATATCTGCGACAAGTCAAAATTGAGGAATCAACCAGAGCCGGTGATCTCAGCAAATATTACAGTTGGCAGTTCTAAGCATCAGATGTGCCTGAAAAGGCTAAGAATCAGTCATGATAATATAAAAACGGCCATTGATGAATGGTGGCAGCCAGCTGGTATTGTACTCTGGCAAGTGTCCGGGAAAGGAACATTCAAAATATCTCAAATTGAATTAGTAGATTACTGTGACATATTAATAACCCACAAAGGACTACTATTTAGTTATTGGTTTACAAGATGTGGCATGTAATTCAGGAAGAAGCAACCTAACGATGTTATCAACATTAACATGGCCAACTTTAAAAATAGAAAAGCTATTGATGTAACGTGTAAAAGCTCAGTATTTGCTATTAGTATTGGTAAGACAATTATACATCTTGGCTACTGCAGGATCAATTAATGGCCAGACAAATAATGGTCGGAGCAGTCGAAGAATGCATTAGCATTAGGATTATAAATTGCTAACACAGCCACCACTGCGTCATTGAGTGCTGAAAATATTATGTTAGTAAAGAAACGACACCAAAGCTTCATGAAGAATATAAATAAACTCGATAAATAATGAAAATGTGTACTTGGTGCACTGCAATTTAACTATATTGCACTTTGATAATAATATTAATGCATATGTAATGGGCATGTTGAGCTCGTAAGTGTGTCAGATCGAGATCAAGGTGGTATGTGAGACCAGAATGAGATGACGATATTATACATTGACCATCTGAACCGTGATTCAATCTGTCTGAACCTCCCCTAGTCCTTTTGATGGAACGTTGTATTATGATACGCAAACATTGGGCATGAATTGCACGTAACGTTGAGATAACAAAAATCCGTTTCAACATCAGGGTTTTAGTGAGGTCTTAGGATTCCGGAATGAAATGTTTCCTTCGTCACTTAAGTTGTTTCTAGCTCCTTCCCCCTATCTTCTTAAATTCTATTTCAATTCGATCTTAAGACATTAAACATAATATACAAGTTTACCGATTCGGAATCTGAAAATTATTTTATTTGAAAGAGAATTTCTTGGTATTGGCTGCTTACACCTTCAAAGATGACGATTTCTGTACATTTCTGATAGAACACGAGGATACAAACGTGAACAGCATGTCCCAAATCAAATCCTGATCTTACTTTTGAATCCAAATGCCCAACATCTAATCTGTTTTAGATTTTTGTACCAAGAAGCCATCCTCAGTGTTAATAATGGTTTTAGAGAATTCGAACGGACGTTCAGACGGACATACGCACCAAGACTTAGAGTATGACATCTCACTTCGTGATAAGGACAACGTTTTTATATATTTACGTATATAATTGACTTTACCTGTGGTGTTAACGGCGGTCGTTTGTTTATCCTCATGATTTTATTAACCAGAACGACTGGGTTCAAACGCCCATTCTCTGAAGTAAGGTTATTCATATTCCATTTGTTTGTAAAACATACTGTTTCTTCAAGAATGTTGATTTGCAATAACTATTCATGTATCCTTAGCGCCTCTTGCTTAGCTTTCATTTACTCCCCGGAGTGTCGTTACTTTTGAAGCGCCGTACATATATGAATTCAATCATATTAATTCCGTTGATGGCGAAGCTTATTTTGAGAAACAATACGTAAAAGTTTTACCACAACAGTATAAGTTTTCCGCTGTGTATATTATGATATTAGTAAGTTAGTTTGATCGCAGTACCCTTGAGGTTTCCTGGACTAATACACTGGCAAACATGCCTGATCAGTATTCCCAGAAGATGTCTTGTATAATGTAGATTAGGTGTCTTCTCTGTAACATCCTTTTACTTTCTCAGTATACAACTTCCCTGCACGCTCACTATCCACGGCAACCGTTTGATAGTCTGCCTCATCAAGGTCGTCTGATCACCAAGCTTCACGACGATCCATTTATAAGTATTCCTCCATGAGGTTTATCTCGCTCTCCGTCTTGTGATGGTGCGCAGTTGAAATTACATTTTATCTGGCAGAATAAATTATATCGTTCATAAGAGCTGTCGCTGGTTTGTTATGTCCTGTGAAGGTTATTGACTATGCAGCTGCGTT